AACAAGAGTTTTTGCTGGTTGAGCTAAGGATAGCTATACAGGGCATTGACTCACATTGATTTCCTGTGCGTGGGTGTTACCTTCTAGGCTAATTCTTTTTGATCTCACCTTTTCTCTAGTTCCTGGTCCCCTTCTCCTATTGGCCTCGGTTGCTTTTAAGGTATCTGCTTTAGTTCCTCTGCGTTAAGGGCAACAAATGCTAGCTAATTTTTTAGGTGTCTTACCTATCCTCACCCCTCCCTTGTGTGCTCGCGCTTTTATCATGTGATCAAAGTCCAATCCCCTTGTTCTGTTTGCCCTTGATCTACTGTCCACATATGAGGGAGAACATACGATTTTTGGTCTTTTGGGCCAGGCTAACCTCACTCAGAATGATTGAACTCAGAGTTTACACTTGCTAGGCAGGCCCCCTGCTCCTGAAATCTTTTAAAACTAAATTTTTTTGTTCTTATTTATGTTATAGTAATTCCTCTTTTATGGTAATAGATTTCATATGCTTTTCTTCTTTGGTTTATTGTCATTTAACCCTTCACTGAAATGGTTGCTTACTTCTGCCTTCTTACCAATGAAGCATAGAGAAAATTAGCCTAACAACATATCCGTTAATCCTGGCTCATGTCGTCTCCCCCAGTGCAGAATGAGGTCTCGCTGTGCTCATGCTGCTCTCTGGTGTTACTAATAAACAAAAAGGCTCTCTCCAGTGGAATGGTACACTCACCTTTCAGTCCAAACCAAACCCCACAGGCAGCCTGTCTCACCCTCTGCACCTTGTAATGTTAGGATGATAACTTCCATATTCTCACAGATTCACTTTTTCTTCTTGCTGGTTCTCATCCCCATCCCCATCCCCACCCCCATCGCCATCCTCATCCCCATCCCCAACCATGGCTTTATTGTTTTTTTCTTGAGTGTTAAAATGCATAGAGAATGTAAACAAGTATCCAGAACACTCAGTAAAGATAAAAGAAAAAAAAAATTACAAAGATCATCCACAGTGTGGATTCCTGTTATGGAATAACAGGAATCACTGTATATATTCTTCTAAATATATTTGCACTTAGATCATCATGGATTTATATTGCTTTTACAAAAAGGTGTTCATTAGGCTTGCTTTTTTATTATTTTTTACCTCAATACTGTGTTTTAGACATCGTTACATGTAGAAAATATAGAAATTCCTATTCTTTATTACCTTTTTTATTGTTGTGCTGGGTGGGACACATTGTGGCATTTACAGAAGTTCTTACAATATATCAAATATGTCATACTTGAACTCACCCCCCAACCATTCTCCTTTATCCCCTCTCCCTCCATTCCTGAAATACCTTTAAAAGTATCATTTTTCCATTTACATACACGTGTACACAGTATCTGCACTATATTCACCCTCCTACACCCTTTCCCTACCTCCTCCACCTCCCACTGGTACCAACATCCACCCTCCCACGCAGGACCTGTTCTACCCTCCTGTTCTCCAATTTTGTAAAGGAAAAAAAATTACATTTCATTTGTTTCCTTAGGACATTTCCATGTACATAGGTATTATAACCCAAATTGGCTCATCTTCTCTATTTTTCTTTCTGCTTTAGTCCTCTTCTTATGGTGGTTTCAACACGTTTGAAGATTCTATATTCATTCTTGTATAGAAACTAAACCATATTCACCTTCTTAACATACTACTCTTCATAGCATTTCATTGTAGGGGTGAACTGTATTTAAGTGATCTGTATCCTACTGAGTAGCCAAGATCTTTTTTCTTTCCTTTCTGCATCTTCCTTCTCCTTAGTGCCCTCTTCCTTCTTCTTTTCCACCATCTCCTTTTGTTCTCCTTGTCTCTGTTCTTTTGTCTTCCTCCTCCTTCTATTTCTTTTCCAGATCCTCCTCCTCATACTCATCCTTGCTTGCCTCCTTCTCTTTTTCTTCTTCATCCTCCAGATCTTCCTCCTCACCCTCCCCTTCATCTTCCTTTTCTTCATCCTTACTCTGCTTTCTCTCTATTCCTGTGTTCCTCCTTCACACTCCAAATGACACTCCTCCCTCTCTTTGTCCTTATCTTCCCTCATGCCTCCTTTTCCTTTCCAACTTCCTCCACCTTGCTTGAACTGTTCTATGGTGAGACTACTTGGTGTTTCTATTTTTAACTTCTTAGGAACTTTTTCTTTTACTTTTGTCACCCATCTACTTTTATAATTTTGATGCATAATATTCTTCCTCTCCCATTCTGATTACTCTTTGCTTTGACTTTCATCCATTAATAATGAAGGTGAGAGATATTAAGAGGCTTGCTGAAAATTGCACAGTAATTCTTGTTAGAACCATCCTAGAATTCACTTTTGACTCAGTCTTCACTAGATTAAGCTGCATTATCATGATAGAAGATAAACAGAGCCTGATAGAGTAAAATCAAATAAGCAAACAAACAAACTAAAATAATAGCTGCAGCAAACAAAATTTAAGAAGAAAGGGAAAGAGAGGAAGGCTCATTAACTTAATTAAAGGAACTTTGGTGTTCTTTCTGCCCAGTTATTTAGCTCCAGGTGAATTATAAAAGAACTCTTTGCAAATGATTGCCTACTTGTCTACTTTGCTTTGCTCTAAAACTATTAAAAATGTATAACGTTTAGCCTTCTCAACAATATAATTTGAGACCTAAGCTTACAGAGCTAATATGAGGCACAATAAATAAAGGCAATATAATCTGTGCTTTGAGGTAAGGGAGTCATGCTTGATGTATTAATTTAATTTCTTTTGCAGAATTAAGGGTACTTGAATACAGACTCTGTATGTGGTATTATCCAGTGAAGACTTGGTCTTGTAGACTTTTCCCTACATCTTCACAAGTAAATAAAGAAATTATAAATATATGATTAAGTAAACCAAGTTGGAAAATGAAAACAATTGTTTTAATACCAAAGAGTCTTATTAACTGTATATGGGCAGTAAGTTTTTATACAGTCCAGGTCACTTTCTTTATGACTTTTCTCATGCCCACCTTTGTTTCTCTCTCAGGAATCACTGCCTCCTGCACCAGGGCATTTTTTGCCCAAGCCACCCAATGGACATGTACAGCATCATGATTGTTTGTTATGCTGCACATTGAAGAACTATCTATAAAGTAAAACGACCACATTTAAAAACAGGATAGAATTCTTTTTATGCAAATGAGATTTGCTTTTTAAAGTAAAGGAGGTTAGAGACTTATTCTAATGTTCTTCCAGTGTGTGGAAGATTTTTTGAGAGGAGCAAGAATTCTCCCATGAACTACTCTCAGATATCCTATTACAAATAAGAACCCCTAGGTGGCCAGGCTCATGCCTGTAATCCTAGTTACTCAGGAGTCAGAGATCAGGAGGATCATGGTTCAAATAGTTCCTTGAGACCCTAACTTGAAAAAAACCCTTCACTAAAAAGGGCTAGTAGAGTGGCTCAAGGTATAAGCCCTGAGTTCAAGCCTCAGTACCATAAAAAAAAAAAGAACTCCCAGCTGACTAATTTATAGTAACAAAACACTATTAGCAAAAAAGTCATTTACTTCCTTTGTGTCACTGAGTAAGCTCACTAGCTTTTCTGTGTTTTAATTTCCTCAACTCTAAAATGATAATAATAGTTGTACTTACTTCATAAAATTGTTTTAAATGAATAAAACATCCAGAATGTTTAAATCAGTATGCAGCACATAAGAAAAGCTGCAAGTCTATGTTCTATGACAGCTACATCAATGATGATGGCAGGATGACTAAAGTGGCCCAATCCTTCCATAGTAATTTAAGAATTTATTTGTTTCAAATGACTTTTGCTGTATCTGTAAGCAGAAAGCATCCCCCAAAGATGCAGATTTGCCAGTAATGGAATTGTAAAAAATGTATTGCAAGATGTAAAGTCAATCCTGAAAGTCTTGGTGCCCAAAGTGTTTTGAGTGATGGAATAAATTAAGACCTCTTAGATGATTGCTCTGGAGGAATCCCTTCTCCACTGGATAGAGACTGTACATTTAAAACAAATCAAACATAGACTTCACATCTTGTTTTTCCAATGTAGACATGCCTCTTAAAGACAGAAGCTGTTTTCTACTTCTGCATTTTCCCCATGGTATTCAGAATGGTGTTTTCCAAATTGCAGTTGCAGTTCTTAGATAGGGGTAGGAGAAGAGAATTAGGAATAAAAACTGCTTTCCTACTTAAAAACGAATTTACATACATTATCTCTTCCTACAACTTCTGGAAAATGTCTTAATTGGCATTTATCATTTGATTTTGTATAATTTGTTTGTTTTGTGGAAGTGGAAATTCCTGCAAAGTATCTGTCATAGGATTCTCTCTTTTTATTATTATCTCAAAATGGAAATAAGTGTTAGTGCAAAGGCAATCTGATCATATGTTATGAAATTTCTTGAGAACAGTTGAAATTTAGAGTTGGTTGTTATAGTTTATACACTGAGTATGGAACCTAGAACAGAGTAGAAACAGTAAGTTTTTGAAAAATAAATGAAACTTTTAGTACATTGACTTCATTTCACAGTTGAAGAAAGTGGGATAATTTGCTCATAGTTCCACAGTGGTATAAAAAGGATTGGAATAAATGTTCCCGATGTCATAATGCTTTAATTATGGATTTCACATTTAAATTATGCTATGGAGAGGATTTTAAGTTTAATCTTTGAATAATTTTACTTTAATGTATGTATATAAATCAAATTCTAAGGCTAATAATATCTGTTACATTGTTCATAGAAGTCAAAAGGACTGATTTAAGGGGAAATTAATTTAAAATACTTCTAAGTGGCTTTTTCAAGGTATGTCAACCTATTCATTTCTTTTCTCTCTACTGTAAAATTTCTCTCTGTTATGTATTGTTAGGGTTTCCCATCCACCCCGAAAGGCTTCCAATTGGAACAATTTGTTTCTCTCATGACATAACCCATCTTCTACTTCTCTGTTTTCTTATACTTTCAAGAAAGGTTGGTTATCATGCTCATTGATTTTTTTTTTGCTATTTTACAGGATGGAAAAAGGGAGTCAAGTTCATGTACCTGTTTGAAGGGGCCCAAACTGTCAGAAATAGGGACAATTGCCTGGATGATAACGCTCAGTGATGCCCTCCACAATTTCATTGATGGCCTGGCGATTGGAGCTTCCTGTACTTTGTCTCTTCTTCAGGGACTCAGTACTTCTATAGCAATCCTGTGTGAAGAGTTTCCTCATGAGTTAGGTGAGAGGCTCTGTTCATATGGGGAAAAGTGATTCAACCTTGGTTTCAGCAAATCTTGCTGATACCGCAAAATGAAGGAATGATTGCTGGACATTTCTGTTTGTCTTTGATCTCATCCCAGAACAGAAAAAATAATGCACAATCCACCTGACATTTTTTTCTTCCAGGAGACTTTGTGATCCTCCTCAATGCAGGGATGAGCACGCGACAAGCCTTGCTATTCAACTTCCTTTCTGCTTGCTCTTGCTACGTTGGGCTAGCATTTGGCATTTTGGTGGGCAACAATTTTGCTCCAAATATTATATTCGCCCTTGCTGGAGGCATGTTTCTCTACATTTCTCTGGCAGATATGGTAAGAAATTTAAATATTTTATTTTGTTTTAATTAAAATTTATTAACGAGCATCTGGATTTGGAGATAAGTGTGACTTGCTTTCCACATTGTGCAAGGCCTTTCTGTCATAACGGAAAATACTCCAATTTCAACAGTTCACACTTCCCTTGAGTAGCTTGTTCCAATTGTAATTTAGAAGTTCTCATTGCTATTTTATCTATGATCTTATGGATAGAAGTGAAATGTTGTGTTTTTGCTGCAGTGGGGATATTTTTCTCAGTGTTCATTTGCTTGTGGTGTGCTAACCCTGTCTTCTGCCAAAGTATGTCCCCATAAAACCGTCTTCCCTTCTTTGGTGATGATGTTACATTTGGAAGAAGAATAACTTGTTAAATAGAATTTTGCTGTTTCAAAGTTCTACACAGTGAAAGCTTTTTGGGTTAAATTAAGACAGGCACACTAAAGTTGTTAAAATTAAGATTTGGCAACATTAATTAGGGTCGGTATGCATTTATAGCTGTATTCTTTGCTTATATCTGTGTTTGCATGCCCACATGAGTTAAGCATATGCTTGATGAACTATCCTGTGCATTCCACATGAGTCATGGACAGCTTTCCAGGAAATGAAAATGTGCTAACGTATGAAAGTCAGGGAAGATTCCTTTTGCATTTAGAACAGAATTACATATATAATTTAATAACTTAACATCCTTCATCTGTATTCTTAGTTCCAAATTATAACAGTCTAGCTCTGTTCATTGTTCTGTGCACTCTTATAAGAGTGAAGATTTCACTGCTTAGAACCACCACTGCATCTGTATTTTTATTCAAAGATTTAATGCTTCACACTAATTTTATTCTAGGCAGTCATGTCTCCTTTCTCTGATGTAAGATCAGAATTTATTAGCATCATTTAGTTTAAAGAAATGATAGCAATAAATGATGCTATATATACTTACAATAGTTTTACTTTTTTTAAAAGAATAGGTTCACAGCTTTCATCCATTTTGTCATAGTAAGAATTTTCTTAAATCAAAACCATGGATTGAGTGTGGATTCTGAAGATCCACCACATGCTGTAGTACATTTGTACATGTAGCAAATCATTGGGATGTGTTTTGAAAATATGGCATTTACGTATACCCTTATGTAGCCTTTTCAGTAGATATTATCTACTGAGAAAAGGTACATTTTAAGTACAATTCCCAAAGATTTTAATTGTATTCACTCCTGTGAGATTGTTGTATTCTTCAATTTTAAAATAATGCATAATTAATTTTAAAAAAATCTTATGATTCTTGAGGGTAGAACAAGCAGAAAGAGACAAATTGAAGAAATGAGGAATTAAATGTATCGCTATTAATAGAAATATTAAATCATCCACTGTTGATATGTTTTCTCTGCCAAACCCAGAAATCTGCCAGGTCTTGGGGACCTTGGACTGAGCAAAGTAGGCACATGGGGCCTTTGTCTAGAAGAAGGGAAACCAGAAACTAAACAAACAAAAAACCATGAAGATAACTAGATAATTACAATTAATTTAAAAATGCTTTGAAATAAAAGGCAAAGCAATATATTGATGGGAGATGACAATAGGGGAAATCTAGTATCAATTAGAAGGGGCTAAGAGAAGGTAATTGGTAAGTGGAAGATGAAGGATTTAGTCCATTGAAAAATTGGAGGGAGATAAGTTCAGAACAAAATCATGACAAGTGTGTGGATTTTGAGAAAGGAGAGCCCATTGCATTGGAGGTCCCAAAAGAATAGTGTATGGGGTGGGGAGTGAAGATGAGAGAGACAGAGAGAGAGAGAGAGAATAAAATGAGACAAACCCCATTCTGCTGGTTGACTCAGTTGGAGTGTCTCACTATTTTTACTCTTGTTGATGCCTGAAAGTGCTAGATATCTCTATTATACAATTTCCATCATCTCTATTAGAACTCTATAAATGACCATTTTATGCTTTACCACAAGATGGCGATAGTTATCTAACAATGTATCTTTTAGTTTCCAGAGATGAATGATATGCTGAGAGAAAAGATAACTGGAAGAAAGAAAGACTTCACCTTCTTCATGATTCAGAATGCTGGAATGTTAACTGGATTCACAGCCATTTTGCTTATTACCTTGTATGCAGGAGAAATTGAACTGGAGTAATAGGAAATGGAAGATGGTGTTATTAGAAGGCATTTCACAAATAAAAAACATCTCCAAAGGGATTTTTTTAAAACCTCTTCCTATTTCATTAAAAGATAATTTTGTTTTCAACTGTAGGTCAAGAAATGTAATTATTGGCTTAGATCTGTAAAATAGGCCATTATTTGTTGTTTAAAATGTTGGTTTGTGGTTCTTTTTCAATGCTTTATGCATATTATAAAATCATCAGGAAGCAAGACACTTACATTCTATAATCATGCAAACACCTCAACCCGGAGAAAAATACAAGATAGGTCATACAAGTTTTTAAAACTTGGTAGGATCAGTTTCAGGTGGTTTCAGAGTAGTTTTCTTTCAATTAATTTGTTCTCATGTTTTCAAGAGCAGGTACATCAAAACATGCAAGAGAATTAAAATATCCACAATACAGATATAAAGAAATCTAAGGTCTTAATGAATCCCAGAAAGAAAGATTGCTCATAGCATTTGCTTGGTTTTATATTTCAGTCAGCAACTTGTAGGATTGTTTTGAAAGCCATTCCAAAGTAATATGAATTAGGAAATCATTAAAGGCTTGCTAGCCATGGGAAGTTTGGGATTAGAGGTTTATCTTTAAGTGTAAACTCTAGCAGACTCCATAAAAAGACCAAGATTTTTGTTTTTAATGACTTATGCTATGACTGCCACCCAAGAAATGGCAGAATAGTACATAAAGCTGGTCACAACTCCGTTTCTGTGTACCATGTGTTTCCTTCGTGATAATGAAGAATATGTTGGTTTGGAGAATGAAATTGAATGTAATTTTAAGGAATTTACCTTCAAAGATGAATATAATTATTTAGCAGAGACTATTTCAATAAGTGCAAAACAACAGCTGAACTGCTCTATGTCAAGGACTGACTGACTAGAAAACATACGTGTCTTATGGGTGATTGAGAATCATTCAGAAAAGACATTTTTTATGTTCTGTGCACTTTTTTTCAATATGGTATACCTTGGGAAAAACCAGCACAACATGGTTATTTTTCTACCTTTTATAAAAGACAGTCTGTTTACTCACTTAGCAGATAATGGAAAATAAGTCTAAAATTGAATATCCTAACCTGAAAGCACACTCCCAAGTAACTTAAAGAAAGATGATTTGACAATGAAGAAAACTATTGATAAGAGCCAATGATTATCTCAGGAATTATGTTTTCTTACAGAACACAGAATGTTTCCTATATCAATAATGCAAATTTGGTGAACATTTAGCATACATGTTACTGTATATTTTAGTTTATGATTGGCAATTTTAAACATTATCCTTTGACCAAATAGTAAACACCTTTGAAACCATGTATTGTATTATTCATTATTCATTTAAGATGTATCTTTTTTTTTTTTGAGTGACCACCATGTATATCTGGTATTATGGGGGAGATAGATAAGTAGAAAATTGGTTATGTGTTTATTTCAAAGATTTCTAGCAAATAAATACTATGAAGATTTGTCATTAATTTCAATAAAATCTATTTTTATCATTTCATCTTTTTATATTCAATCTTAACAAATAATCTTTGTCTTTTTAAAGCATAGGTTGTATGTCTTGATTAAGAAACTACTTACAACATTTTATTAAAGTAAGATAGTTTAAAACCCTCTCATGTATGTGGATTATCTAGGTGCTTCTCGTTATTCTCTCATGTGTTTAGCTTTAGGTTTTTTTTTTAGCTATGAGAACAGAGGTAACATGACTGAAGACTCAAAAGGCACAAAGAAAATTGCCACTTACTGGAGGGTATGGATGAAGGTAGAAGGTACCAAAGGTAAAGCAATGATTACATTAAAATTATCCTAAATAACTTCATTCAAACAAGCATAACCCTGTCAGTCAACTTATCTTATACTGAGGCATTTACTATAACGGCTAAATGTTCTATAACACTTAGACTTTAAAGATGCTACCAGGGCAAACCAGAAACAATGTCAGTGTATTCTATATGAGGTTATGTACTTTTACTTTTCATTGTTAAACTTTAAAGAATGACTGGTAATAGCTGGCATTTATCTAGTTCTGTATCAGACCTCTATCACCACGATAATGTGGTATCATAAGCCGAGGCTCACAGCAGCTGATGCTCACAGCAGCAATTTGTTCCTTTCTCAAGCCACAGATCTTCTAATTGAATAGCTGACCCAGTCTGGGCTCTGCTGCCTGGCTTGGCCTTGGAGTGTGGCTTGGCCCCTGCAGTACGCACCTGGTACTGCAAGGTCTTGTGGGAAAGGGAATGTATGTATAAACCCAATAGACAATGAAGAAGTAGAAACCAGTTCAATCTGCCCTTAGGAGTCTTATTTTACCTAGTAGGAAATATCTAATATATAATAATGCATCAAAAGCCTGTAGGGCCTTGCTCTGTTTGGCATGGTCTTCCTTTAGCTCTAGCTTTGGTTTTTATCAGGAAGTCTAGAAATCATACTGTCTAGACTGTTGTGTTTATTTAAGGTCCCATACAGTACAAGAGGTTCTTAGCCTTAAAATAAACAAATTCTCTAATATCTATGTTACTACAGATGCTTCTTATAACTGATCCTCCCCTTCCACACAGCTGTGGGTTGCAACACCTGTGTTAGGTTGCTTTTCTCTTAGCTTCTTTTCTGTGCTGGGTATACACAAAGCTTTATCTGATGGCCATTTAGCTTCTAACATTGAAGGCCTCTAACTTTTGTATGGCTTCAGAATCAGTGACTTTTCTAGTAAAATTTCAAGTATGCAAAAGCAACTGGATCTAAACACACATTTCCCCTTCCCCCATATTTTAACATTTTCAAAGGCATCTGCTGTCACTGACAGCCAGGTGGCATTGTGAAGGTAGTCCTACTTGTGTGAAAGTGAAAAGCATCTGTTGAAATCTAGTAAGGCTAAGAAAATGCCAGTATCACTGTGTTTAGGATTTGATGGTATAAAATAACAGGTGCCTAAGCATATGAGGTTTTCTTTCTTTCTTATAAAAGAAGTGTGGAAGCTACAGTGCAGGGCTGGCATGACAGTTTGTAGCCTTGGGAACCCACAATTCCCATTTGTCTGCTCTGTCATCTTTAGCATGAGACTCCCACTTTCAAGGTTGCTTCATTCTAAGATGCTTGTTAGAGTTCCAGCCTTGAAGTCTAAATTCAACATAGTCAGAAGAAGAAATGGATAGAAAGGCAAAAAGTTCATACCCAGCTTGTCATCTCTTTTTGAGGAACTTTTTCAGATGTAATATCCAACAATCTCTACTTATATTCACTGACCAGAATAAGTCATGTGGACACACCAACTTGCAAGAGAAGCTGGGAAATGTTGTGCCATATACTACTACTAATAGAAGAAGCAAAGAATGGATGTTGGATAATTGGTTATCTCTCAGATCTGGGCATATCTGCATCATTTTCATTTAGGAAGCTCATTACATTGGATGGTTCTGGTGCAGTCAGTTAAGGGAACTGCTTCCTTTAGGGAGTCTCATGATGGATTTATAGCAATTCCTCTTGAGTATTTTAATTATACTAGTCCTTCTGACCAGTCTTACTTTAGAATCAGTATAGTTCTTATGCACTTATACTTGTCTTTATAGCTTCTGTGTCTCAGCTTGCTATGAGTAATATTTTATTAGAATAAACAAAATTAAAATCTTGTAAATAATAAAATAGACCACTCATCAAATCTCAAGGCTGTTGATTTTGGATATATAAAATTGAATCCCAAGGAATAATTTCAGTAGATGGAGCTTGCATGTTTTGAACTTTATATAATGACTTAATTTCTATAGTAGAGATTACAAATGTTTTCCCCACAACTATATAGATCAGTTTGTGGTAAAACATTAGTAAAGCAAGAGATGTAGACGACTTATGACCATGCTTGTGATGACCAAAGGAATGGTTGATCAGGGGGCATAAGAAAATAAAAGATGGATAAAAATGTGATAAAGATGAAAAATTTGTGGTTAAGATAAAAAATTATGAATGGCAGAGGAAAATCTCATAGGAAGAATTCAAATTAGAAATACTTTCTTCTCTCAGAAAGCTGAGGAAGTTTATAAAACATATCTCATTCTGTGTTTTGTGGCCAGTTCCATCAGCCTCCTACCCCCACCAAGGACATTTGATGGGGGAGGCCACTGCTGTTATGACTGACACCGTGGACTCGCTTCTGACTTCTTTCCCTAAAACACAAAAGCTCAGAGGGCTGGCAAGTGGAGGTGAAGTGAGGAGAGACACTGGTGCATTCAGTTTGACCTCAATCCTGGAGTTTATTGGGACAAAGGATAGATGGAAGTTCTCTTGGTCTAGTGATCCAGGTAAGGCTGAGAGATCTAATTAGGAACAATTTAAAAATCATGTAAGAGGAAAACCATTCTGAAGGTTGGTTTTGAGTGGACATCTGGAAAACAAAGGGCTACATAAATGAGATAAATAAGAAAGTGGAATAGTCATTGACAAGGGGCCCTCTGAAGGATCCTGACATAGCCAATGAGAGAAAGGTTAGTTTTAAGCACCTGTCAGTTAAATAGCATGAAGCCATGTTTTGATAGAATTTGTCAAGTAAGAACTTTCCAATCCCCAATCTTTTTTCTCTTTCTAAGCACTTAACCTGGGAGGAGTCAGAAGTCACAGTTAGCACATGGGGTGAGCAGAAGTCTTACCTTTGGATAAGGATTACAATACTGACTGATGTATTGAAATGTATGTTTTCAGTAACTGACCTGAGACCCTGAAACCCTATTTTTGACTTAAAGTGATTATAGGATTTTATACTCTCCCAGACCCCTGAGTCAGAACAGTCCTTATGCCATCCAAGTTTTATCTCCATGTAGGAGAAGGGATATCCAGTCCCTAAACCCGAGAAGGCTCAAAAAGACTGTAAAGGATAAAATCTATCTCTCTCTCCCTCTGTGTGTATGGTTGTTTGTAACTTGGATTTGAATTCAGGGCCTTATACCTTCTAGGCCTGCACTTAACCACGTGAGTCACATCCTTACCCTTTTTTACTTTGGCTGTTTTTCCGATAGCGTCTCTCATTT